TCAATATCTATCAATCTTTGCGAACAATTGAAATGTTTCCCTCCCTTCTTCATTATTACTTAACTGTTAATGAGCATACCATTGGATAGTCATACAGTTTTATCTTATAAATTATTTACTATTAATAAGCAAAATAATTATTCAAATTCATTCTAATAACTGGTATAAATTTCCTTATAAATCTTTCACATTTATTTTCAATATTTTATCAATCTTTAGAAACAATTGCAATGTTTCCATCTCTTCATTATTGCATTAATTATAAATAAACACACCATTACATAACAATAGTTTTATCTCATAGATTATTTACTTATTTCATTTCTAACTCATTACAGTATTCTACTGTCACAACACTATCTTTTGTACCTTTGCAGAATCCTCACTTTTAACTTAATTTAATCATTGTCTCTGTTTTCTATCTGAGCAAATACCTTTAATCCTAGTACGTTTCCCCTTTTTCTTTATTTCCTGTTTTTGTCCCTCATAAGTTCTTTCCCTTTCTATCTCCCTCCCCTTTTTCTCATCCCTTTTTTTATACCCTTCTCTCTCTAATTTTCCCTTCTGTAGTTTTCTTTTCTGCTTCTCCTTGCTGTTACACTTCTTTTTCAGACTATTTTTCTTTTTGGCCGTTCCCTTTGATCTCAAACTTTTAACTCCTTTCCCCCCTTTTCCCTCAACATTGTCAAACTATTTACTAAGTCTGCATTACTATTACTATTAATCTTCTCATCGTTCCTATCACCCATCTCCTCCCACTTATGACTGTATGACTTAACTTTGTTGTTTGTATCCTTATGGTTTATAATTGATAGTTTCCTAGTATGATTTGATTGCTTACTTGTACCCTATGACTTTCATTAAGTGTTGTACCTTATGATTCTTGATGAATGTATCTTTTCTTTTTATGTACACTGCATATGCACCAAATTCCTTGTGTGTCCAATCACACTTGGCCAATAAAGAATTCTTTCTTTCTTTCTTTCTTTCTTTCTTTCTTTCTTTCTTTCTTTC